CTTTAATGACATTAAACTAATTAAGACCAAATCCCATTACAAACTTTTGGCTTCACTCTCTTCTTTTTAATTTTGATCAGCTGAGCTACTTTCTTCCATTTATCACCTTTTTTTTCCAAAAAGAAGGGCACAAATTAGCTATTTGTAGCAGGGTTTGCTTGTTTCCTTTCTTAGTACAATATCAGTTCTAACAGGCAAATGAAAATCTTTTGATTTTTCATTGGAAGAACAGTTTCTTCTCAACTCTTGCTCACTGCAGACACTCATATTTATGGTGTGTGTAGCTTGCAGCAAGAGCTGAATAGGGAATGTGTTTGCTTTATTCTGTTAAATTTTAAATTCACAGTAGCACTGCTTATTCTTCTACTTAAAACTGCCTTTTTCTTTTCTTTTTTTAATGCTGCCCTTATGTCAAATACAAACTACTGAGTATAAAGCTTCCTGTGTGATATATAATAAATTTAGAATATGCATCTAACAGAGTGATACTTCTGTTCCCACTGCCCTGCTGTGAGAGGTACAGGCAGCCTGCTGAACAAACGGGCTGTGATAACTTATCACATGCCATGAATTCCCAAACAATTCCAGAAATAAAGGCGCCTACAAATCTCTCTCCTATTTTTTTGTTTGGTCTCTGGGAACATTAAAAAGAGCTGGAAGCAATAAAAAAAAATTAAAACCCGTAGATAAGATTGCAATGTTCTCAGACAAACAAAACAAGGTGCCTCACAAAACAGAAAATAAACCACATAAAATATCATACTCTACCTTGTGGTTGTAGGGTTTGTTGGAAAAGAGCTCAGGGCTCATGTAGTAGGGGGTGCCTATGAGGGTGCTGGCCATGTCATACTGGTTTTCCAACACTCTGGCTATTCCCAGGTCACCCACTTTGATTATGTTTGTTCGTGTCAGGAAAATATTTTGAGTTTTAAGATCTCTGTGCAGAATGTGCTTCTCATGTAAATACTGGGGGGAACAAGACAACCACACAGAGTTAATTAACTCCTAATTCATTCCTCTACGCTGAAAAGTAAAATCTCATTACATGAGTCAAAGAGGGAACACACAAAAGCAGAAGAGACCCATAAATCACTCTCAAAGTCAGGAGTGCCCTGCTAGTACAGTATTAGTGAATTAACATTAAGAATGACTGATACCAGGCACAGGTCCAAAATTTGGCACTCTTTACCTAAATCTCCCTCTGTGGCTCTTGTAAGTCAGCAGAAAAGAAGAAAGAAAAATGTAAGGTTAAGACTCAAACTGTAACTCAGTTTCTGCTGCTTCCATTTCTTGACAATCTTAGTCTTAAGTATAAAATCTCAGTGGAAATTACAATGTGAGCTTTGTGTAAACAGGGAAGGAAATTAGTCATAATAAACAAGAACAGGCAGTACTGTAGACTTCTGTATGTTTGATCACAACAGCCAACTTTTAGATAGAATTTTCTTTCCAATTACTTATTCTTTAGTGTTGACATTTATATCTGGTCTTTATTGCTAAACAATTGCCTTTAAAGTTTAATAAACTATGATTACTAAACTTCAGAGGAGTAAGACAAGATTTAATAGAAATGAATTAATAGTCTAAATTTACCATTAAAAAACACCAACAAAACCACAGAACAGAAAACATTCCTGAAATAATCTGCCTCTCCCTTTTTTTTTTCCTCAAAAACTACATTTTATAAATTTAACCTAAACTTTCAAACCAGAGAAGCAACTAGAGTTGCAAACACCCTGGAGGTTACCACTGTCTACTGTGCCACAGAGTTATGGACATAAAATATGACAGAAACTTCTTGCTTCAAATGTTTGATTTGACTGCAGTGACCTGGGAGCACTTTTAATATACTAATAACCACTGTATTTAGATGGTATCCAGCCAAACAGGATTTCAATAAATGCAGAAAGAGCCAAATTAGGTTTACGTCTGAAGGTGACAAATTTATACTTTATTTTACCTGCAGTGCCATGGCAATCTGGACAAACCACTCCACCACCTGATTCTCAGGCAGGAGTTTGCCCTTCTGCTCCTTAAGTTTGTGGTAGAGGTCTCCTCCCTCACAGAAGCCCATGACAATGTACAGGTGGCCATCCTGCCCCTGCCAGGACTCTCTGTAGGTGACGATGTTGGGGTGTCTCAGCTGGGACAGCAGCTGTGCCTCCTGCTCTGCCGCTCTCCTCTCACGGCTGGAAACGTTTCTGAGGTTTAACTTTTTGATGACATACTGGAAAAGAAATGGCAAGATGTAGCACAAGGGATCAAGGTGACTGTGCAGAAGCTCCAGGGAATTTTCCAGGTCTCAGGGAAACACAGTATTTGAAACTCCACTCTTTATTCTAGGTGGAGGCTGCAGTTTAACAGTTATGCATCATTTCTACCCTTATACCACAAAAATGGAAGAACTGTGGCCATTCTGTTCATCTACCTGAATACAACTCTGCACAGGAATTTTGTGGTTTACTTTCTTTTGACCAATGTTCATATTTATCTTCCCCCCCACCATTCTCATTTTAAATGTGTGTCTTTTGTTCATCTCTTAAGCCTGAAATACCTGTTCGTGCACCACAGTCACACTCAAAAAGGGCCACTTCAATAGTTACTTTAAATATACAGTAATAATAAGGAAAGTATATAGTCACATGCAAAAAATTACAATGATGTCTAGGATAAAAGTTATCTGAAAGAAAGAGACAAAAGGTCTTACAGTCATTCCTAAATTTCTTTTATTCTGTATTCAGATGGGTTAAGAATTTTTCAAAGCTACACATAAAAACTGTTCTTCACCTCCCTAATATGTACTATTGTAATTCTAAGGAATTTCAGGTTTTAGCAAAAACATAGATGAGGCAATAAAATTCACAGCACACTTTTATCACCAACACTTCGTTCTGACCCGGCCCCATCCCGATGTAAATTTTGTGGTATTCACTTTAGGGCATCAGCTTTCCACGGAACAAACGTGCCACGGTTACACCTGACCCCGCTCTTATCTGAGAGCTTTTAAATCAAAACTTCTAAAAAATTTTTTTACTTGCTGATTTTCAGCATCCTCAGCAATTGTTCAGTGTTTGCCGCCCAGGCTGGGCCTATTAATTAGCCCAACACATTTAATTAGTGCTAAGGAGACGCCCCTATATACCAAGGGAACCAATTACCCAGAAAAATCCACAGAACCTCATGACTTGGTGTTTCAGAAATCTGCTGGATATAACCTGTGACGGTGCAAAGCTTCCAGAAGGAATATCACTAAACTAATTGTGTACAGAATCATCTAAGTTTAAAATAAAATGGAAATGCTGCAACTACTGTGTTCTACATGGCAAGTCAACTACAATTCTATCTTTGAGCACAGAACCCAAAAGTTTTTAGCTTTATATCAGCATCCTTTAGATTATACACTACCAAAATGCAAAAAGCACGTGTATTAGCCTTATTTTAAACTCGGCATTGATTATGTTTGGTTTAATGAGCATGTTCTCCTGGCAAGATTCCCATGAAATCTATTGCAAAGCTCTTCTGCCTTATTTGATACTGAACTGTGTACAAATTGCATTTCGTTTTATTTGAAACATTTAGAGCCACTTGAGTTTTTCCACAAATAAACAGCATTCAGCTATCAGCAAATATGCTTAAATAAGACATAATTTCTTTCAAAGAACACAAGGCACTATGCCAAAGCCACAACAAAAAAATCCTGATCATCTTGCTACAGAAGGAAGTTTGTAAAAGTTGGCAAAAGATAAGACACAGTAAAACACACCAAACATTTAAGATGAAATAACAACAAACAGGAAGCAAGGCTCTTGCCAATGTTAATGACCAGCAGCACGACAAAAAAATCCAAGGACCTGTATCCAGGTGAAAGTCACCTCAAAGCACTGTTTACTTTTAGGATGAGGTTAGCAGTTCTTTGAGGACATTGGACTATGCACTGTGGTGATGGCCTGGAGGGAACAAGTCCTGCCGTCACTACTACCCAACCTACATATTGTAGGGATTCACCTCTGGATTCCAGCCAGGGAACTGCCTTCATCCGGGAAGGACACGCCCTCTGATCGCTGCTGGGAACAAACCTTTTCCCATCATCTTCAGTACAATTCCAGGCTTAAGGCTCACACCCGAGGTTCCTGTGATACTGTTCTGTGGGTCTTCTCCATCCCCATTTTTCTACCCTCTCACATTTCCTATCAAACACCTCTGCTTTGGCCAGGCAGGACAGATTATTTCAGTTTTCCAACAAAAATCATTGCACCTAACTCTGACACAACCAAAACTTCCCGGGCTGTTGCACAGCCAATACAGCAAACACCCGTCTTTCTCCCACAGAGCTGATGCCAGAGAAAGCCAACACCAGGAGCTGGTTTTCCATCCTTGCCATATTTTTTATCTCCACCACACGTGCACATCTTGAAGACACTGCACAAGCAGTAACAGGGCAAGAGCAACCTGTTCTGCCTCACGCTAAGAGCAGGCTGTGCTTCCCTGTCACCCAAAGGACTACCCAAAACAGCTTTCCTCCACAAAACATGGCATTATACATTAAGAAAAGGAAAAAAAAGTGTTATTGTTATTTTTACTTACATTAAGAAAAAAAAGTTATTTTGGGGGCTTGGCTTTATCGGGAGGGGGTGTGGGGAGTGTGTGGAGGTTATGATTAAAAAGACAAGGGATGGCGGAAGAGTCTTCTGCACTTCTTTAACAAAAGTCCTCACAGACAAAGGAGGAGAATACGAGCAGCCCAGCTGGACCAGCCCAGCTCATGGGCTGCAGCCACACCCTGACACCAGGCGATGGTCACAGCCCTGCCTTGACACCAGGCGATGGTCCCAGCCACACCCTCACACCAGGTGACGGTCACAGACACACCTGACACGAGGCCACATCCCTGCTCGTCCCGAGTCTGTTCCCAGGGCCACAAGCCAAGGGTGGGCCACAGCGGGGTGTCGGTGACACCCCAAGCAGACCCTGCGGCACCCCCAGCCCAGCCCAGCCCCGGCCGTTCCCCTCACGCCGAGCCGCGGCCCCTGCCGTGCCAGCGCCCTACGACCCGCCCCTCGCTACCTGCTTGCGGTCCTGGCGGTGCCGCGCCAGGCTCACCTCCCCGTAGCTGCCCTTCCCCACGGCCCGCAGGAAGCAATAGGCAGCCAGGGACATCCTCCTCCCGCCGCCGGGGCCGGGCAGCACCCGCTGCCATAGAGATACCCGGGGCAGCCACGGCCATGGGGCGCCCGCCGCGCAGCTTTATGGCGCGGCAGCGGCGCCGCGGCGGCCATTTTGGAAGCGGGCGAGACGGCCATGTTGAGAGCGGGCAGCGAGCCTGAGGGATCCCTGAGGTACCGGCGAACGCGCCGAGGCTTTCCCTCTTCTACGGCCCCAGAAACAGAAGTATCTCCTCACAAACACTGTGTGACGGGCGTCCTGGGCTGCAGCTCCATGAGGTCCATGTGCTGAGCCCCGGGAAAGGCTGGCGACAGGGGCACGGTGACAGCCCAGTGGGCAGCTGTGCAATAGCACCCCACAGCAGGTCCCGCCACCTCACCTGCCATGGGCACAGCTGCCCCTGTCAGCAGCTCACAGAGCCATCCTGTCCCTTTGGGTGGGGCACAGAATTGGTCAAAAAACATCCAGACTGGTTTAAAAGGAGCTTGTGAACCTCTCCTGTGTCCCTCATGTGGCTGAGCACCTCAGAACGCTGACTGCAGGAAAACCCCAAAATAAAATGTTCTATTATCACTGGGCATTTAACTCCCAGTCCTCAAAGTTCATCAGAGGAGATAAACCAGCTAAAAAGTTTAGGAGATAATTAACACTGTCAAGATAACAAATAGAGGAGAAGGGCCAGGCAGCTGCAGGCTGGATGGGCATTGAGGGTGCAAGATGCAAGACCTGGGAGCTTGGACCTGGTTTCAGCCACGAAGATGAATAAGAACCCATGTAACGGGAAGTTTCTGTACTAGACAGGACACGTCAAATAATGATACCTAAATCGGGTACCTGGGTGATAACATAGGATTACAGGAGTAGTTTTGAATAGGAGGTTAAATGGGTGTCACAGGCTGCAAGCTCTGTCATGGCTGCAGTAATTTGGGCCAGGGAAAGCCTTTAAGGAAGTATCGGAAAGATGACAGTTTTCATTTGGCAAAGAAGAGAGTCTGGAGAGGAGATTGATCTCAGTTGCTCCTACAGAAATGGTTGTTGAATTTCTGTTTGAAGTTATTACATGGAAGGGACACTGCTGAAATAGTCTGTAACAGATTTTGTAACAGTATTCTGTAGACTATGCAAATTAAAAATTCAGTGTTTGATTTTTCCCAAATGCCTAATGTTTAATCCCACTTTTCTCACTGAGTTATTTATTAACACTTGGTAAACAAAGCATTATATATTTATGCATATCGTTCCAATCTGAGCCTTACTTTTTTTCCAAAATGGAAAACAATCTATTGCTTTGTATTTTATTATTGATTCCCACCTTTGCATCATCAGACGTTTTGGTAACACATATCAGAAACATCAAGGTAAGTAACCAACTGCGTATGGAGCTCCCACTCTTCATAGATTAATTTCTTGCAATTTATCAGCATTTATCAGAGAGTTCATACAGTGCTGACAGCAGGAGCTCTGTGTGGACACAAGATTGAACTTGGGACGCAGACTGGTTGACCTCTAATCAGCCTCAGTGTTCCATCAGCTCTGAAGTTCTCCTACTTCTCTTTTTAAAAGCATCCCTTTCTTCTGTTTTCTCTGTCATCACCACATAGTGGTAAAATGTTTTAGTGGTTTTATATTTAAATGTGTAAAGCAATCAGTGCTGCCAGGGAACTGACTTTAGCACATTTTGCAATGCAAAATATCAGTGAAAAGATGCCTCCAAGAAGGAGAAAACAGAAATATAACATGGCATCAAGATAAATGTCCACTAACCAAATGACATGGTAGGTTTTTTCTCAAAAGATTTGCATGTTAGCACAGCATTAAATATATCTCTTAAAAATATCTGTCCCTCAAGAGGGCCGTTCTGGTTTCGATTGATCTCTGAGTAAGGCAGTGCTGCCTGATGTTTTGCCTAATTTTCTTTGGTTAAGTTACTGCCCACTACCCCTCCCCTCCATAAATTATTTTCCTCTCTCTCAGTGCTTACGTACTCCAAAAAGTTACAGAGGGCAAATCTCCTGAGGGAAGATTTTGAGTTACTGTGTAGAACAGGACAAAGCAAATTACAGTTCATTCCTGTTGATTAGGTTATGGTCTTTGCCAACACTTTTTCTTTGAAAATCAGGATAGTAACATGCCTAACCTTCAAGAATCAACTTGAGATTTAATGCTGCAAACTGGAAATGCCAGTGATTCTTGTTATTTAACCATTATGTAGCCCAGATATAATGTAGCTTTTTCCTGCTGATTACCATAGTACCTGTTCTCTCTGTGTCTTGCAACTCTAAAGCTTTCTAAGTGGAAAACTGCCAAAGCTCTGGGCAGTGCTCCATCCATACATGCAGAATGCTATGGAAAAATCAGTCGATTCTCCTAGTTTTGTTATATACCTTATACAAATGTGATGTGATTGAAATGGAGGGGGTTGCTTTGAAGTGTGAAGGTCTCTGTCCCCATCTGTGTCCTGGCCCCAAGGAGTGTGCCAGCAGGGAATGGTGAAGTGTGGCTGGAAGCCTCGTTGGCTGATGAGCTTCAGGCTGCCAAAGCTCCTTTTAGAGCCATAGTCAGGTAAACACAGTCAGCAGACCCAGTTCTGGTGAAAATTGAACAAAAATCCCAATCAAAGATCCCTGTGTGTACTGGCACACCTTGTTCCTAAGGGTGGGAAAGATTTTCCTAGGTTAAAAACAACCTGTAGAACTCCATATTCAGAGCATTCAAAGCACGGGGAGCGATGGTACAGCCCTCCCTTTATGGCCCTCTCATTTTGGCAGCACTGGGACTCCTTCAGCTCACAGGGAGGTTTAGTTGGTGTGGCTGAGCTGCATTAGGGTTTCTTCTTCATGGCAGCCAAGTAGCATCCCTTGGGATGATGAAATCTTCAGTGTTGCCTTAGATTTGGAAATAATTTTCGTGCCTTGTTTTTCCTATGTAGCACTTAGGGATATATGCAAATACCTCATTCCTTGACCTTGAGGTCACTTCAAGTTCGCTGTACACTCTTTGCTGAGTCTTTTAGTCACACTGTGGTTTAGTTTTCCAAGCTGTACAATCAGGGCTTCTTTCAGCAAGTGCTGTAATAGGGGCCCTCTTTGCCCTCCCTGCTTTCTTGGGAATTCAAATTTCTCTTTTCCCCTCCAATTTCTATAGATTTTTTGCACCTCTATTTTTTGTTGTTGCCACACCAAAACAGTAGTGAACAAAGGAAGAATTTGTTGCTGTTCCATAACGGAAAAAAAAAATACATTCTAATAATTAGTGCACCTGGCAAATATATAGAAATAGTACAGAAACATTTTACCAAGTAACGATTATCCAAGGTAGAGGATATTAAAATCTCATTTTTGCTAGAATTGCATCATCTTTTTGAGTGGCACACTATCACTTTCTACCCACATAGCTTAAAATGACCTTGATGCTAGTGACATCTCAAGCTACCTCCAAGTGAATCATTAAAAATTAAAAAAAAAAAGAAAAAGAAAAAAAAAACAAACAAAAAAAAATACAGAACAAAATCACAGGCTCAGTCCCCTCCCCTGTGCAAATCAGGGTCAGCTAGGGCAGGTGGCTGGGCAATGTCCAGCTGAGTTGGGTATCTCCATTGAAGATCAGCCCAAGCACAAAATCACTAATGCCTTTCACTGAGAGATTTTTCTGTAGTTTCTTTTTCAATGAAAATTGCAGAGTACCCCTCTAGAGATTTACAGAATCGAAACAGAACTCCTTCAAAACTACTGTCAAACCCATAATCCTGATAAAGAATATACACAACAGCAATCCTGTAAAACCTAAATGCAGTTAAAGTATCTTTTAATTTGGAGGCAGGAGTCAGAATTGCAGAATTTGTAAGTAAAGAACACATTTTTTGTGTGTGTTTTTCGTATCCTTAAACTGCTTGGTAATTTCACTGTTAGGAAATGTTTGTACCAAACAAAATGACATTTCAGTGACTTCCAGCTTTTCATTTCCCAAGGTCCATACCTCAGTTTGTGTTTTGCAAGGGGAAATAACAAACTGTAATGACAGCATAGAGACAGAAGAGATAATTTCACTTTTGGAAAGGACAGGTTTGAATTGGTGCACAGTCTACACAGGCATTAAAGAAATCCATGGAGGCTTCTGAAAGGGAGAGATGCACACACAGAAATGACCTGCATGGCAATAGCAGATGGAAAGATGAACCTAGAGAAATGTGTCCAGATTTCTTGGCCAGACTCTTAGAGCACTTGAGAAGCCTCCCCCCAAACCTGGCATTACCTAACATTTAATAGTGTCTTGAAAGGAACTCCAGAATAGACAAAAAAATAACTCTCTGTGTCTCGGTTTCCATCTTGCAAAACTTAAGTGTGAAAGGTACCAAAAGCCTTAAATGTACCTGAGATGTGTATCTGACTTCAAACCTCATTAGGTCCTTATCCCTCTGTTTGGTGGAGCAGCCAAACAGGCCTCCACAAAATGTGACCCCCTGGAGGCTCTCGGAGCCAAACGAGATAAGGTGTTTGCAGCAGAGCTGATGAGAACTGAGTTACACAAGCTGTTACTGTAACAGGAGTCAGTCAGTTTGTTTAGTGCCTGTCCTCTTTCAGAAGAGAGGACGTGATATTTTTGTACAGCTTCTGATATTTGCACCTACTCTGGGAGCAAATATGGCAAAAAAAAAAGTTGTAGCTGCTTATTTTTTTTCCCCTCCATGCAGGCTTTCATGGTGACCATCTCTCCTCTCCTCTCTGTAATCTTACTGAATTACCATCATACTTTGTCATGTTGGGTTGACAGGCTGGTGGGGTGAAACAGTAAAAATTTAGGAGTAAGTCTGAAAAGGTGTAATGGTGGGTCTGCCTGACAGTGTGGATGTGTGTGACTGGAAAAAAAAAATGTGCAAACTGGGTTTTTATGCTTGGATACAAACCCTTTTTTTACTTCCAAAGGAGAATAAATTTGAAAAGATAATATGTACTAGAGGACCCAGATCCAGGAATTGCCAAGAAAAAGTTGTCACTCTCAGGACAAGATATTCTGGTTTTACTTGATGTCACCACAGAGCCAGCCTATATTCGAGGAGTCCTATTAAGCAAATTTTAGTGTGTTTTTTAATCTCAGTGACATTTAGTCATAAATGGCACTGAGCATTCTTTTCCTCTCTCTCTCCCCTCATCCTTCAGGGGTCCATGATTGTTTTCAGTGGGAAGAAGACACTTTTTGTGTCACTTCAGCAAAATACAAAACAAGCAACATGCCTTACTTGCTCTTCCCTCAAATTTACTTTAGGTTTACTAATGAAGACCTCTCTTGAGCTTTCCTTCTCCTGGACAACTTCTTTTGGCTTGTGACAACTGCACAGGTGCTAAGTGATTTACTTCTAAAAGCACCTTCTTACTCATGGTTTTTCCCTTTTTTTCTCTTTACAGAAGCGAAATGCTGAGAATGACTTGGTGAGTAAGACTTGGTTTTGTCCAGGCTACCAAGAAAGATTTATAGTGACAGGAACATTCTGTGTTCACAAAATGTTTCTGTGAGAGAGCAAGTGGATATTTCTGGAAATAGCCCAGAGCTGCCTGTTTTGGGCAAAAGGTTGAACTGGACAGTTCCTTTTCGAGCTCTGATGGAAAATCCTGGACAAGAAAAGAGAATGAACAAATGATTTGTAACTTCATTGTATTTGAATGAATAGCAAAATTGTTTGAAATCACCTCTGTGTCTCTTAACAGACATCTATTCAATGTTGGTTTTATTTTTACTTTTGTTTTATATTGAAGTTATGTTACAGAAGGCAAGAGACCTGATGTCTGAAGCTGATTCTACTTGGCACCTGGATCCCCTTCAGCAATGTTTAAATGCTTGGATTGTTTGGGGACCTTCTTAATCAATCAGCCAGAGATCAGTCCCACCATAAAAATTCCATAGTTCTTTCCAGCACTGGCTCTGCTGCAAGAAGCAGACCTTGTTTAAGGAGTTGCCTAATGAATCACATCTGCTGTTACCTGTGCTTTCACATACTCTCCAGCAACCTTATACCTGAGCATTCAGAGAAAACCAGTGTTGCCCTGCCCATTTCCTTGTTTAAAAAAGAATGAGCTTCAGTTGTGAGGAAGTTCAGAATAACATAAAGTTTGGAGCCATCTGGAATTGTTTTGGTCTATTTTTAAACAAGGTAATCACTTACATCCCTGCTCTAGGAGTCATCCACTCCACTGATGATTACAGTCACTGAGCCAGGGAGGCAGCAAGTAAATTATTGTGCTCTTTGAGTAACCATAAAACATCACTCTCTCAGCAGAGAAAATAAACCATTTTTTTATAGTGGCAGTACCTTTGCTGTGGTAGTAGTATTTTGTTAAAGGGGCTGTAGTACAACTTGTGGAATAGTGCCATGATGGCATTGTGATAATACCCCAGGAAACACAGCTGTGCTCCAGTTCTCATGATTCCTGGTTTGCTTTGGAGTGATCGATGTCCTGCCATGGTTTCTTTTTAAAAGTGTGATGATGACTGATTAACACACACATCAGTGTAACAGCTGGTGCTCTTTTTTCCCCTTGTTTCATTTCTCAATCTACAGGTTGTCAATGGGATAGAAATCTATAGCATGAAGATCGATAGTAAAGTAACTTCCCGGTTTGCCCACAATGTCGTCACCAGTCGAGCTGTCAATCGTGGGAATGTGTCCAAAGAAGTTTTCTTTGATGTTGAGCTCCCTAAGACAGCCTTCATTACCAACTTCAGCATGTGTGTAATTTTTACAATATCATTAGAGAAGACTAAATACCTGTGCAAATTCAGCTGGGAGAATCTGAACTCAACTGTTCATTTTTACTTTGCCATTTGACAGATTTTTAAATGCCTCCTGGGTGATTTTCTGGTACTGTTAACTTAACATGTAAGATACATGGAGAAAGGCAAACATTGGTACATCTGTAGAAAAATGACTAATTTTCAGTTATTTCTTTTCATCATCGTGGACCTTAGGGAATGGGGGACCTTCCCTGGAGATCCATCCACCTTTTTAGAAATACCACTTACTCTGGTGTTATCAAACCAGGAAAGTTCCATTACCTAATTTCCCTGATGGCATTATAGCTTAATTTATTTCTTAATTTAAAAATCATGTTTGAATGAAAGGCTTACATTTGAATAAATGCTCATCTGTAGGCAGTGACACTTGGACAGGTGAGTCTCACCCAGAGGGCTGGTTTGCCATTAGATGAGACAGGATGGTGAAGCTGCTGAAATGTAGGAATATGGCAGGGGTAAGTCCAGTTCCACCTAAATTCACTGAGGAGACTGGTTTCAGTGAAAGGGCTCCAATCTTGGCAACAACAGGTCTCTGAAAGTGCTTTTTAGCAAACCAGTCAACAAAGGGAGAATTTCTGTGGTAACTTTTCGTGTATTGTTCAACCAAACTAGGACTTTTTCATCTGCAGGACAATTGATGGTGTCACTTATCCTGGAACTATAAAGGAAAAAGAAGCTGCAAAAAAGCAATATGAGAAGGCTGTTTCAAGAGGACAGACTGCTGGTCTTGTCAAGTAAGAATGATGCCTTGTGTGGCTTCCACATCATCATCCCATAGCAAACTGTGAGATTGGAAATGCTGTGTTCTGGTATGTTACTGACATTATGGGACCAAGGACCAATCATTAAGTTAGAGTTATTGTGGCACAAATTATAAAAAGGAAATACAACTTCTGACTACACAGGCAGTACCTGCAATCATGGAAAGGCTGTTTCTGCAGCTTCCACTGACCTGTTCCTGGGATTAAGCTCACTGGGAAACTTGAATAAATTCAACAATTTGAGTATAATTTTAGCAATAGATCCTATTTAGAACAGAAAAAAATCCCATTTTGTTTTTCTTCTTTTTGAAAATTGTATGCCACCAACCCAAATAATAAATATTGTAGAAGAGGATAAAGATACTTATTTTCCTAACCACTTAATACAGAGCTTCAGGAAGAAAAACAGAAAAATTCACTGTCTCAGTCAACGTTAAAGCAGCCAGTAAAGTCACTTTTGAACTCACATACGAGGAACTGCTGAAGCGACGCTTTGGAAAATACGAGATGTTCATCAAAGTGAAACCAAAGCAGCTTGTCAAAGATTTTGAGGTAAATGGCAAACTGATCAAATTTGACTGTAACTTAAGAGCTGATGAAATTCTCTACATCTGTTGAAAGAGGAGTACAATGGTCATTCCATCTACTGAGCATGCCGAAAGAAATCATCTGTGAAATCCTGAAAAACCTATTTCAATGCCTTGAAATAGGCATTGAAGTGGAAGATTAATATCTTTTGCATATGCCTTTATAGCATAAATTACACCTTTCTTACACCACCATGACACAACATCATCTTAAATCACATTGATGCATATATTGCATTCTAGAATACTGCAGCTTTTGTGTTTTAAAACTGGTCTTTGATCACTCTTATCTGCCTTGGTAGAATTCCACTATCTGCTTTCAAGTTATATTTCTATTAAGGTTTGTTTATTTGTACCTTTGTTTTTAACCTCTGTGTGTAAAAAGACCTGTTTGACTGAAGATGTGTCCTCACAAGTGGATTTGGACTGCCATTATGAATTATAAAAGTAAATTTCTATTGCTTTTATGAAAATGCCTCTCTCATATCTGTAGTTGCCTGCTGATCCTCCTGGAAATGGCTGAGTTGATGTATTGTGTGTTAGTCAATGACAATGAATTTTCAATTAATGTTTCAGATTGCAGTAAATATTTTTGAGCCCCAGGGTATCACTGAGCTGGAAGCAGAAGGAACATTCATCACCAATGAGCTCCAAAATACCATTAAAAAAACTTTTTCAGAGAAAAAGGTACATTGACTACTGAGTTCCGTAATTTACTTATTATGGCTATAATTTGAAAATAATAATGTCAGTGCTAGCAATGGAAGTGAGAGGAAAAAAAATAGAGAAAATGCAGTAAAGGCTTGTCTGTGCAAATGAGCTCTGAATTCCAAGGTAGAAAGTTGAAGGCCTTCTCAACACAGTTCTGAAGCCATGTAACTGTCAGCAGGATACTGTACCAAAACTAGTAGGCCTTGTCCCACAGCAGCATTTGGAAACCTGGATACCAGTAAGAGTATCTCTTACACAAGAACTGAGTCAGAAACAAGTAGTTTTGTCTTGTATGGAGGGGATAGAATTCCTAAAAACACAGACTGCCCAACAGGCTTACCAAAGGTGTCATTCAGGGTGGAGGGCAGACCTAAGGGAAAGCACATAGAGAAAGTCCTGGATAGCAGCCTTCATCTACCACTTACCCACCAATGAGTGTATAAATACATATGCATGCATACAAACTAATAGCTAACCAGATAACCCAGGTTCTTCTCATGTCTGTGAATATAAATATACTAGCTTTAAGAAAATGCAAATGTGTTCTGTAGGAAATGTTCAGCTATGAAGGTTCAGATCTAATGAAGGCTTTCCTTTGCAGGGGCACATCTCTTTCAAGCCAACTCTTGATCAGCAGCGAACCTGTGCAAGTTGCTCAGAGTCTGCCTTGGATGGGGATTTTACTGTAAGATATGATGTGAAGAGAACAACTCCAGATAATTTGCAGGTAAATTGAAATTCTCAACAGTTAAACAGCCTGACTTGCATAGTAACAGTCAAGGAGCAGTGAGAGCCAGCTGTTTCCTAAAGGACAGGGAGCTGAGTGTGACAGCACAGCTGACAGCACAGGGGCTTCACCAGCCACGAGCCCACTCCTCACAGTACCTGAGCAAGGCAGCCCCTGAGGTGGCACTCAAATTCCACTGAGAGTCCAGGTCATCAGGCAAGTTTGTGGTGATGAGCCCAAGGTCAAGGCAGGAAGTCAGTCTTTAGGGTGGAATCCAAAACAGTGGAGTCCATGGATAGGGACAGGTGATACAGCTGTGGTATAGCTGGACACAAATGTTCTGACAGTGTAGCTCAGGCAGGAACTAAAGGCCCAGTCTTGCACTTAAATGATGCTCCTGGGCCCATGGACGCAGGTGAGACTGGTTGGAGCCATTAAAACCTTTTAGTCCACTCAGAGACCAGACACTAAATGAGAGTAATATCCCCTTTATCTGTTTTATCTTTACAATATACCAAAGTTTTTGGTGGTGTTATGGGGGTTTTTTTTCCCATTTTATTTTTCAGATTGTCAATGGCTACTTCGTACACTTCTTTGCACCAACAAATCTTCCAAATTTGCCCAAGAATATTATTTTTGTAATGGATACTAGTGGCTCAATGTATGGAAGACCAATGGAACAGGTAAGTTATTACATTACTGAAGAGTTTCAATGGAAGAGCTGGGAAAAAGTACTGGAAGGGATATGAGCTTTTCGTAGTTAGGACTCCTCATTCTAAGCTAATGCTCAGAATTTTCAGGTTTTGGTGTCGCATCAAAATATCCAGGCTTGCTTGTGTATGAGCTTCTCCACCAGACTGTAGCTACCCATTTCCCATCGCTTTCAATTTGCCATGCCAGCTTATCCCAGTGTAAGCAACAATCCATGACAGGAGATCTGATTTTCCTTTTAGCTACAAAGACTTACCAGGTGTTCTTGCAGCTGACTGACTTCCCTAGAGTTACTCTGAAACAGGCACAGGGACTGGCAAGGACAGAACAAGCTCAGGATTTTTGCACAACATACTATATAGAAGTTAAAAATACCCCAATGGTGAGAGATTAATAATGTCAAATCTGTAAGCACCTATTCTGTTAAATGTTGAATTGTATATTTAAATCTCTTTGTCTTATAGACGAGAGAAGCACTTCTAAAAATCTTAGATGACATTAAAGAAGATGACTTCTTCAATTTCATATTGTTCAATTCTGGTGTGTCCACCTGGAAAGAAACATTAATCAAGGCCACTCCTGAGAATTTGGATGAAGCAAGGAAGTTTGTTCGGAACATTGATGCTTCAGGCAGTAAGTACTTTACTGGACTTGCCAGTTGGTCACTGTGTAAGTTAATTTATCTCTTCATTCTGTGAACACAATGCTACAGCTTGTTGGGTTTTTAGATTACTGATGAGACACTCCTGAAGTTGAATTTTACTCAGAACATGACATCTATTTCTCTCTATGTTTCCAAAGTCCAGGTACTTCTCTATCTAAACATCCCCCTGCTTATAAACCCAAATCTTTCATTTTCATGCTGTAATTAAATCTCTTCAGATCCCAGTGAAAAATGGGCCTTTCTTTTGATGATCTCTGCTGAACCCAAATTTCTATGTCTACCCCATAGTGACAAATTTACATGGTGGTTTGATGAGGGGAATTGATATTCTGAATGCTGCTCATGAAGGGAACCTTGTGCCCAAGAGAAGTGCCTCTATAATTATCATGTTAACAGATGGCCAGCCAAACCAAGGTAAGTTTCTATTGGATGGAATAATAAAGAGAGTTAATTAACTAATAAAAAATGCTAGTTAAAACTGGCCTTCACCTTTGACTTCTTGATGTTTTCATGATTTAAATGCTACTATACAGTATCATTATGCTAAACCAAGTTTTTGATAATGCCTCCTAAGAAATCTGAACATGACGAGTCACATTTAATTTTGTGATCATTTTATCTATTTTTGAAGACAACTCAAACGTTTCCTGGTTTCATGCAGGTGTATCAGATATTCACACCATTGAGACAGATGTAAAAAATGCTATTAAAGGAAGATACCCCTTATACAACCTTGGGTTTGGCTCTGGTGTAGACTATGGCTTCTTGGAGAGGATGGCACTGGAGAATAAAGGATTGGCCCGTCGGATTTATCCTGACTCTGATGCAGCTTTACAGCTTCAAGTACAGTAACCACCACTTAAATTAGATGAAAATACGTTGGTTCAGATAACTATACAGTTGTTCTTTTCAAGCAATCAAAACCCCATTGTGTAATCTGATGATGGGATACTCCAGAATCTGCTGTAATCAGAATATTAGAGTCATAGAATAGTCTGAGTTGGAAGGGACCTTTAGTTGCATTTGATTTTCTCCTTCCCTCATATAAGCAGGAAGTAGAAGGACAGTAAAGGGGAGATACTGGGGGCTATGGCAGAGTTCAAAACTTGGCACAGGGTGACACAAGTCATGCTTCTGAAGGGCACCTGGTGTGCAGCAAACTTGCTGCAGTCATTTATATCCCAAACCTCACAGATCATGTGGTTAATGTCATGTCAAGGGACAAGAGGGAGAACAGATCATAAAGCTCTAGATATTCTGCCTTTAGAAACTTACTGGAAGCAGGTGTATCCTACCCTACTTCTGAGGCATTCTAGAGTTGTATAAGACATGAAAACAGGTATAGGCCTTATGAGGTTGACCTGTTTTACTTCTCCCATTCCAATAGCAGCCATTCAAAAAATTCACCAAAGAATTAGATACTGGATTTCATTTCAAGCTCTGAAATTAAGAGCTTATGTCAGTCTCTGCTGGGAATAGATCTAAAAACTTATCTCTATCAAATACCAGGGATCCCTCTTGATTCATCATCCACACCATGTTGTTCTCAGATATTTTTTTCTCTCTCTAAGCGAGACTGAAGAGTTGTATGTCCTTTCTCATCTCCTTTATTTGTAGATTTTTTTTAGGCCTTGTGCTCTGAGAGTTAACCAAATATTTAAATATTTCTTATAAAATACACTTGCAGTTTTCATTGCCAAAATAGCAGGATGTTTCTGGTTACAGATCTACGAATTAAAGAAACAATGAGAGTTAAATGTTTTCCTTTTTTTTTTTTTTAATCTTATAGGGGTTTTATGATGAAGTGTCAAATCCCATGCTCACAGATGTGGAGTTAAACTACCCAGAAAATGAAATACAAGACCTAACTACGAACAGTTTTAAGCATTTCTACGATGGGTCTGAGATTGTGGTGGCTGGACGTTTTGTAGACAGCAACCAAAACCAATTGACTGTAGATGTCAGAGGTGAAGGTGTAAGTATGGATTTCTTTAACTTATGCAAGATACACAAAACCTCTGAATGTTCAAAGCTGGCACTACTTAAATACTTAAAATATTTATTGGTATTTCTTTACCTCGGTGGCAGGATGGGTTACTGCACATGTGAGAAACTAAACGTGCCAAAGTCATTGCTTTTAAAATTGCAAATTACTTGCCTAACTCAAGTGTAGTAGGGTCAGTCTGGAACAACTTTGTGCAGTGTGACTGGATTAGTTTTGTTAACAAATATATATAAATATACTCATGTATTTATACATATCCTCATATATTTATAAATATATAAATACTGTATGTATTTAGTCTCTAAATACCCTACCTGGTTCTTTTGGGAGCCAAATTTTCAGTGTTCACAGGCACTTCTCTTCAGTGGATGAAGAAAACCAATAAATAAGCCAGCTGAATATTTGAAATATCTTCCCCTTAAAATAGAACTCTGCTTCTAATACCTCTCCACATCTGGATTCAGTAAAAATATTTACCCCTGATATTCAAGAAACAGAACACAAATATATTCTAGACCATGTTATCATAAATCATGGATTGCAAATATGCCCCATGGACCGTGGACTTTGGTGTTCTTTAAATACAAATAATGTATTACTGTGAACTTAATTCCAGCCTGTCTGCTTGAGCATGTTCCTCTCTGAAATCAGTATCGTAATCCAAGTTCTTTAATCCTGGATAGCTGAATTCTGATGAACAAAAACACCATGTGATTTTGGAAACTGTGTTATATCCTGTAGTGTACACCTCTGACCTTCACAGAAACAATGGGTCAAAATTCCTCATAGAACACTGGCAATCTCCTGGGCAAGTGCTGGGTGGAACCAGACTGTTTTTCAACTTGATAAGGTTTTCAGGTGTGAAGGTCTCGATTTTTGGGAGGTTCTTGCAGTCCTTGGCTACTTATGATACAGAGAAGCTTCCTTACTCCCAACAGGCTAAAGATGCCCTGTCATACACTACACAACAAGATGCTGAGCAAACAGCTCAAGCTTTCCAAGAACAAGAATACATATTTGGAGAGTACATTGAAAGGCTCTGGGCTTATCTTACCATTGAACAACTCCTGGAAAGACGGTAATTATATCTAGAATAACATCTTAGCTATGAACTCCTTAAGCCCTCTGACTCCTGCAGCTTCTAGGATAAAAATCAGTAAGGAAAATCCCCCTACCTATTCTCCTCCATAGCCTCAATATTCTTGTTTCAGGTTGCAAATGAAACGATTTTAAATTACTGTAAGTATAAAGCACGGGTTCGCCTTTTTCATGGATAGCCAGGGGAATCAGAAGTGCTTTTAGAGTGTGACAAATATGACTTATTGATAAATTAGCTGCAGAGAAATGACTTCACTTTAAAGTAAAATATTGAATTTGGTGAGTAATTCAGCAGTCACTGATTCTGGGAGTCTCTACCTGTATTCAGTATTGCAGCTACAGGAGAAGAAAAGGAAAACCTTACAGCTGAAGCCCTGGCTCTCTCCCTGAAGTACAAGTTTGTAACACCACTGACATCCATGGTGGTAACAAAACCAGAAGAAAATGACAATGAAGATGTGATTGCTGATAAACCCACTGAAGGTACAGACATGTTCACATTTTCACTGCATTTGAGAAGCCAAGTGCTCATTTGACGTTCTCCTAAAGAAAGGCTTCCATGTGGGCAGTTTTAAACGTATCTGAAAAATCTACTTTCCAAGCCTGGCACGTGTGTTTATGCAAAAATTACTTTTCATTGTAAATCTCACTTCCATCAAACCATCCTTCATTACTAAATTGTACAGGCAAAGTACTATACATTTAAAATAAGTGTATTTTAAACCAAATACATAAACTATTACAGAAAAAAAAACAAACCAAGAAGCATTTCTAATCTAATAATCCAGCTACATTAAAATGAGTTCACATCACTTTCTCCTTTATTTTTCCACATACTTCAGCCTAGGGGTAGATGTAGTAACCTCTTTCTGCATGAAAGAGGAAAATTTTCATGAGCTCTTCCTCATGCAGGATGCATCAAGTTGTAAAAGAATTTGAGATTGCATATGTAAAACACAGCATTCATCTATATTGCAGAAAGAGAAGCAATTATATTGAAAGTAGACAATTTGTTTTCAACTCCTCTGATACTTTGGCTAGTGATGAACTCTATTCTTAGTAAAACAGCTCAGCCTCTCTGTTCAACATCTGTGTAACAAACACTCTGTTCCCCTCTCAAAGCAAGGCAGTGCTGTTTGCTCAGAGTGCCCCAAAACCACCCAAACTTCATCTCTGTGTATTGTTCCAGCCACCCTGGTTCTACAGGTCTAACAGAGGCTTTTCAGTCTCTTCTGTCAGCACCCAGTATTTTTTTTCCCCAAAACTTTTACCTAGAGCCCCTAAAAGTTCTTGCAGGCTCTGTGTGGGCTCTCTGCTGCCTTCTACATTTAAAACTTCCTAATCTTTTGAATTTGGCGTGAAAACTTAAGGCATTTTAGCATAACAGAGATACTTACAGGGGATTAGTGGGTTTTTCTTTCAGCTGGAATAAATCCTGAAGCCAATGAATTGCTAAGTGTCTTTCAACTGTGAATAATTCTTCAGGCATTCTGCTGATAAGTTTTTGCATTATTTTTCATAACCCTCGTAATGGAATACTGACACAACCCTTCATGTTTAGTTTAACATTCAAGTCACTGTACAACAGAGTGACTTTAAAGTTTGCACCTGGCCTCCATAAGATGGAAACCCCCAAACATCTGACAGAAGAGACATCTACTCACTCATCTTCATCTCTTTGCTTTTCCTTTCCAGGTACTTGTGGTACCTGGCTCCTCTTTGAACCTCTTTCCCAGGAAATCCTCTCTGTACGTAGAAAATATAGAGCAGAAATAGCAGAAAACACTCAAAGGACTGTTTCTGTATAAGAAAAGAAAAGAAAAGAATTGTACACACCCTGAAGTCTAGATTCACAAATCAGATTAGTGAATGATCCAGTCAGTATTAATAGAATTATTCAAATGCCTCAAAAACTGCAAAAGAGTAAACCCAGTAAGGAACATTTTGCAGTATAAGTGTGGCATAACAATAGAACAACTATAAATAAAGCCCTTGTCCCATGCATAATAAATTGCAGTTTTGCTGCCCCACAGAAAAGCTTTTTACTTTCAGTGTGTTTCTGTTTGATCTACAAATATTGAGTTGTATCACTGGGAAGAAATGGAATTGTAAAATACTGAAGATACCTGGTTGAGTTTTCAAACAGTTTTAAGTTTATTTTTTTTTTCTTAGAATATGTTTTAGCAGGGTCAGAATTCCACCTGTTTAATTATACAACTGAAATTGTAAATTTCTCTTTTTCTTCCTTTTACTCCTTGCCTGCCCATGGTAACAGCTGAAGGTATGTACATTTCTTATTAAATTTATGTCATGTTTTTAACTGTTAGAGGTGGATTTCCCACATTGGTTATTTGATCTAGGATGCAATATTTTCATAAAATTCTTAGTGAATAAATCAAGATAGTGTTATAAATACATTTAAAACTTTTCAGGTGGATAAGTTTGTAGTGTTTTCAGTGTGGTTCCTCCTGTCTCTGATGACTCCAGCATCCCACCACCAGAGAATTCAGGCCCAGTACAAATAAGCTCTCCCAGGTACCTGTGTGAGGCAATCCCATACAAATATGTCTTTGTTCCTGCTGTGATTGCCACTCCTTCAGAACAAAGCCCTGTCTTCAGACACCCTGACATAGTTTCAGGTGTAAAAAGAGCAGAAGAGTAGAAAAATATGGAAGCAGGTGGGAAAATCTTACTGACTTCCCCTCTGGGGAAGTACAGCTTAGAGCAAGGTGGCACAGAGGAACCAGAGAAGAGCAGGCTGTCCCAGTCCCATACAGAGCCAAGCCCAGGCCTGTGGAGAAGGAACATTCTTGCTGAAAAGGAGGGTGTGCTTTCAGCCCTTTCAAGACTCTACTTTGTAGCAGTATCAAATAAAGTTTTTCCTTTGTAATAATTTAGAAATTTATACATAATTACAATTTTTTTTGAGTTGGTTTTGGTGGAAGGAAGCAAGAAAAATTGTTTTTTGTTCTTTGTAGGCTCTAAAATAACATTTTGTTTCCTTCACAGCACTGACTTCCGTATCTTCAATGCTTGGTAAGTCATTAAGTTTCTGAATGGAGCAGGATCTGTCAACTGAAGTTACCAGAGAGCTGGAGACTGCCATGTCTGGGTTTACAACTGTACTTTAACAAATACTGCCAAATTCTGCTCCCTGCTAAAAACACACTTAAAGGTTGAACAATACGAGGTGAAAAAGATTCAGCTAAATAGTTTTTGAGGAGAAAATGCCAATTCATCCATCCACCATTTTTTCCTGAAAGGTGTTTCCCAAAAACAGAGGATGGACTTCAATTTGGATCTCCTTGATATAAAGCAAGGGCCTATGATGTCCAACATCCTGGTTAAATTAATATTTTCAGTTACTTGTGCAAAAAGCAACTGTTTTAATTCAAGAGAGAGAAGCAGCAACTGACCCATCAAATGGCTGGCTGGGAAATCCTAGGAATGGGAGAGTTAGAGTTACCTTTTTGCTCTGGGGATTAGTCTCAGTCTCTCTGTCTCTGTCTAGTTTTCTCAAGTTTTTGTTGAGACACTTAAATTTATTCTGGAAAAACAAATGTCAAAATGTCAAAAGTTTTCAATGGATGATGTTGCATTGCCTTGCTGATAGCTTGATCCTAAAGCCTGAGATATTTGTGTCCTGCAGATACATTACCTGGGCTCTGTGGAGACCCTCAAAGCAATGTAGACAAGTGAAATCTGTCTCTATTGTGAAGCTTTTTTTGATTCAAGAGCAGCACAAACTGTCATCCCATGGACTATATGCTTTAAAAACCAGGATGGAATTAGTGATTTACCAAGCATATTAACCTCCTGACATCTTACTTGTACCATGCAGAGAGCACGTACATTTTCCATTTTGATGTGTTTTCCTAACAAGTTTTTATCCTTCTGCAGGTTCACAAATGTATCGAGGATCACAACCCACATGGTACACCAGTGGTGAGTGGTTTGAGTGCTGCCTGTTTAGAAGGAGAACAGAAGAGGGTTTTTAAGGCTAAACTACACAATTCTTATGAGTCTTTTTGATAATTCCCTTCCATAAAAGCTGCCATTTTTCATTTCCAAGGGGCTGATATTTTAGTTTACTTGTAACGTCTCTCAGTGTCTTTTAAAGATCAAGAAATTGAAATGATTTGTGGTCCTTTTCTCAGCCCTCCTTCCTGTCAACGGGCTTTGTGTTGGTGCCTGCCTGTTCTCTATTCAGGTCCCTTCCTGCTCTCAGTAACACTTTCATGCAGCTTGTGAAGGGCCCAGTTCCACTGGCACAGTATTAACTGCTCATGTGGAGCTTTGCCCCGTGTGTCACTGTCCAAACACCAGTGATTTGCCTTTGCAGTTGATGGGGACCCACACTTCGTGATATGGGTGCCACAAAAAAGAGATGCCATCTGTTTCAATATCAATGAAAACCCGGGTACTGTCTTAAATTTGATAAATGATCCAGTTACAGGTGAGTTTTAATTTATTTTTTTTAAATAATCACTAAATCATGATACTTCTAACAAAATGTCAGGTGCATAAAGGCTGTTTCTTTCTTTATAATGCATAAGCTTTTTTTCCCTGCAAAGTTAGTAGGAGGTCCTACAGTTATGATAGGGTATCATTATCATGACTGTTTTCACTTCTTGGAGCAAAATAAACTTTTAAACTTTGTTTGAAAACCACTGTGAGGGTTGAGAGTAGTAATTTGTCTCAGTGAGTTTTAGTACAGACAATAAAATAATCCTTAAGTTGCCAGTTCATGGAATATCTGGTAAAGAGAGACTGATGTCACACAGGCCATCTGTGCCCATCACAAACTCTTTGTGTTCTAGGAAATACTGAACTTTTCTCAAGAAAATGATTGTTGGCTTTGTGGAAATTCACTGAACAGCCCCCGGGGCTTTATTTTACTTTAGCACAAATATGCACAAGTAATTCTGATATATTTTTCAACTCATACCTAATTCCTTTGGTTTTGTTAAATATTCAAGACACCCCTTGGCATCAGTTAATCAAGTCCTGTCTATAAAACAATACTTGTTTCCTTTCTATATTAGGCATCACAGTCAATGGAGAACTCATTGGTGATAAGAGAGCAAATACCAATGCAAAGATCCAAAATTCATATTTTGGAAAACTTGGCATTGCAAATAAGCACCTGGGTTTAAAACTGACAGTAACTCCTGAGAAGATCACAGTTCAGAATGGCAATGAAAAAATGGGTTTCACCTGGCTTGACTCAGTCACCTTGCAACAAGCAGGGTAAGGCTTAAAGAAAGGCCATCAGGCTCTTGCATTACTTTCTACACTTCTTTAAACATTGATCAATAATACACTTCTAAGATTTGTTGTCTGAATCTACAAAAGAAATTGATTCAAGCCCTGCTGGACTCTGCTCTCTATTTTGTTGTGTAACTGCTGAATTATTCACAAATTCCTCTGCTTGGAATAAGTAAGTGAAAATTTTTCCCTGCTAGTCTATTACCATGACTAAGGCAAAGCTAGATTTGGTCTCGTGCTTCATGCAGCAGTGTCTTGCAAATGCTTGAAGATTAACTTTAGACACAGTATGTAGTCTTTCAAAGGCATAATAACGCACCATAAACAATCTCCAGTTTAAGAAATGGAAATTGTGGCATTTACAGAATAGGTACATTTTGCCCCGTCAGCAGGTCTATTTTTCATGGGATCTCTCTATTACAGAATCATTTATACCTGTGCAAAAGGAAGTTCAGAAAAGGAATGGGCAACATCTCCTCCTCCTGCCTTCTCAAGGCCTGGCACTGCAGCAGAGAGCAAAACTTATTCACACAGCATGCCTTTTTGTTTGTTTTGGTTTTTTTTTAATTATGATAGAACATGGATGATGCCAGTAACACGATCAGAAGCAAAACTTCTTTATCTTAGCACTAACCTAGGCACTTTGGGAGCTGACTTCTCTGAAAAACAAAAGGAAAAAGTGCCATGTAGCATCCAGCCAAGGAAGTGATGGTTTTATCAATGGAATTTGTATTACTGAGCATGAGGTGCTGTACCTACATATCACTGACCTATCTCTGATTATTTGCACTGTTAAAGGACAAGTTTTGGTAAAACCATCTGACTGAAAAGTTTAAAGGCCAGGTAGCCTTTTCCAGTGTCATTTAATATGATTCTGTCATTTAATATGATTCTGTCATTTAATATGACTGTCTGTGAACACACACACAGAGACTCCCATGGACCAAACTAGGCAGCAAACCCTCTCTTCTAAAAAACACTCAGCACTTTATAAAGCCATGTTTATGTCTTGGACAGGTTTCTTCTTCTCACGTTTCTTCTCCTTGCTGTTAACTCTGGGAAGCACAATGTCCTAATTCATGTTTTGGTTTTTTTTCCCCTCAGTTTTACTTTAATAATTAATAGAAAAAAAAATCTGGTGCTCTCAATGGGCAGTGGTGCCTCATTTGTTGTTGTTTTGCACCAAGTATGGAAGAAGCATCCTCTCCACCAAGATTTCCTAGGACTGTATACATTGGAAGAGGATAAACTGTCTGAACAGACCCATGGATTATTAGGTATGACTTCTTTTAGTGTTTCCATGCTGGTCCTTCCTTTTGAGGCTGCATAATTTGTAGACACAAGCTTGTACTTAACCTTTCTGAACTGAGAATGGAGGAAACTGAGATGACATTGATTGACAGAATTAGGATTTGTGACAAAACATTCTGGGCTCAGACTGTGTGAATTATCTTTTCACAAATTTCTCTGCTTCTGCTGCTGAAATCACTGGCACTCATTGTCCTCACTGGCATCTTTAAACCTCTTTATCTTGCTAAGTCCCACCTACAGATTTTTTTTTCTTACTACACTATTCCTCCAGTCTCTTGGATGGTTTAACCTCTCCTTTCATCTTATCCCCCTTTGCCTAAACACAGGCACTCTGAAAAAATACTTGTTTGCCTGATCAAAATTTGCCAAGCCTCAGTTAGTGGATCCTTGTAAGAAAAGAAATTGTTAAGGTATAACTTGATTAAGGTATATCTTGATTTATTAGCATATATTAAACCCACAATATGCCTTTGTATCATCCAGGGTTTTCCTTATGTTAGCCAACATTCTTTGTTTTAGTAGAAAGTGAAGTTGATAATTCAGGGATCAAGAGTTTGATCCCATTTTCTGCCAGTGCAGTGTGTTTGGTGGTGGGCATTCTCTGCTCCAAAAACCACAGAGAGCAGACATCTGCCTTCCAATTTTCACTTACAAAATCTGATGAGGGCAGCAAACATTCCTTTTAGGTCAATAAGTTTACTCAGTGTGGAAAACAATGAACTGCACCAGCCCAGAAAGGACAAAAGTGTGCAAAAGCTAATCCTGGCAGGAGTACAAAAATTCCTTAGCTGTCAGCCTTGTGCTGAGCACAGTCACATCCAGAGGTTTCAGAGATCAACACACACATTATTTGATTAAAAAAAAGCTAAAAACTTGGGGAATATATCATAAATACAGTTGACTAGACAACAAGTGAGGATATCTTGAAAGATATGTAGAAAAGGCTAATTGTATTGTGCACTCAGAAGCTGGAACTTACATCCAGATGATATGGATTGTAGATAGAAAATAATTCCATGGGCATATGTTCAACCTTACATGAGACCTGGTGTTTGCTTATCCATTCAAACCCCTGAAGGGACATGGAAACCAGCATGAGGATGTAGAAATTCTGGAATTTCTGTTTGGTTGCTGGTTTAATGTGTGCAATGTGCCTGACATGTTAATTTTGGCTTCTATTTTTAGGACAATTTTTCCACCCCATTGACTTCACCATACTTGAGATTCATCCTGGGTCTGATCCCAAGAAATCAGATGCCACGATGGTTGTTAAAAACAATGAACTGATAGTAACGAGGTACAGAATAATTAAGTCCTTAGCAAAGACTTAGGCAAGATTGCCTTGTCCAAGTGCAGTTCCTACCTTGGTACTCCCATGGCTGTGTTTCCCTTTCAGGGGCTGGCAGAAGGATTACAGAAGAGATCCCAACCATGCTGTTGACATTCCTTGCTGGTTTGTCCATGACAACGGAGCTGGGCTCATAGACGGTGTTCACACAGATTATATTGTTTCCAGTCTGTTTTAAGCAACTACAACTTCCTCCAAATCCGTGGGTAGACGGATGATTTGTCTGAAAGAACAGTATTTTTTAATGTTTAAGAACTATTAAAAATCTGTAAGCATACCATGTTTGGCAAGGACAAGGTATGTTGGATTCTCCTACAGTTTTGCTGTGCATTTGATGGAATCTGAAGTGCAGGGCAGCTGTTCCCCTTGTGTGCACAGACACCCCTCCTCCTCTGGAACGTCCTCTTTATTAGGTTCAAAATTCTGACTTTGAACGTTACTTTGTAAAACATAACAGAAACCTTCTATCCAATATTAAATCAATAACGGAGTGACTTAAAGCCTCAGCACTCAGTGCCTGGTCCTGTTATTCCAGCAGCTATGGATGTTTTCACCCCGGTTTCACAAAGCCCAGGGCGCCAGATGCATTTCGCGACTGAGCACAAGAGGGCAGCTGACAGCCCAGCCCAGATTTTGGGATAATTCCACGGCACTTGGAACCTCCCGACCACTTGACTGTGCAGTGCTGAGGGCTGGTGCCAGCACACAGGATGACTGTTGGCATCTGGGTATTTTAGTATTTTAATTTGAACCTAACTTTCGAATGCCCAAATCTTTATAAATTCATGAAATACCACAGTTGCAAGCACCACTCACGTTTAAGTAATAATAGCTCTTTTGGACTCTGTCTTTTTTGTGTAGAACCCCTCCCTCTGTTCCCATAACAGAATTTATGAACATATTCGGGGCAAGAAGTGTCCCATTTATTTATATATTCATTTTGTACTGGAAGAAATTGCAAGGTATTACTTCTAAAGAAAAAGAAAAGCCTATTTCTTATTTACTTCAAGATTTCTTTTAATTAAATCAGCCACAACAAGGTAATTGTGGTCTCGCATGGCAAAGCAGAAAATTCCACTATTGCTGTATGACAAGGAGAGAGAGTCAGTGTGTGGAAAACTAGAATGCAGACAACCTGAGGAAAGAGGAGTGTAGTGGGAAAAACAGAGATGGCATGAGATGTGATGGGTTAAACTGAAAGAACAAAGGTAGAGGTGAACAAAAATTCAACAGAAGAATCAAAGAGGAAAAAAATAGAGAAAAATTATACTTACTGTTAAATTTATGGGAGATACAGGCCTTTTCCAGGAGCAAAATCTTTACTGAAAGCAAAAGTTTTGTAGATTAAAAAAAACTGGGAAGAGGAGAGGGTGTCACAGTGGCTACATATCTCTGCCTGCTAAATTCAGACAAAAATGATGAAAGAAAACAGTAGTTTCTACAGATGGTTATAAATTACTGAAAAATGGGGAAGGCAGGGAGAATAACAGAAAGGAGTGAGAGACCAGAACATTGGAACTAGTAAGGTTAAGTTTACATGGTTCTAAACTTTTATTCTAAGATTTTTATTCTAAGATAATTAATTAGATGGAATCAGGGCTGGTCCTGTACTCACCCCATTAACATAATAAACCAGAGCAGGGCACAGCAGACCTTCACCTGCCTGTCTGGCAGAGTTTGGGCACAAGGCAGTGCTGAGCACTGAGCTTTCTTCTTTGATTAATGGGGATTAGGCAAATCCCTGGAGGTGGCAGGAGCCTTGTCAGCTGTGACAGAACTGTGAGCCAGGAGTTGACCTCAGGGGTTCTGGTCTGCTTCTGCATGGCTCCTGTTCAATATGCACTCCAAGATTCCTGCAGGGTAGGAGATAACAGCAAATGGACCTAGAGGTCACAAGGAGGGCAGAGAGAAATAGCAGAGAGGTGCTTTCAGTTAAATAAAACATTTACTCCTACTGCCAACAGGGACAATGCTGGTTGAAAGAGAAGTGTGAGAGAGATCTACTGTGAGATGTGGATATATCTGTTATTTTGCATTGGAATTAGAAATTACAGAATGCAAAATATTCATTATTGTGTCTGCCTTCAACTCCTTGAGCAAAGGAAGGGAGTGTAGAAAATCAGAACTCACTCTGGGCCTCAGAAAGGGCAGGAGGAGAGTGACTAAACATCAAACTAAAATACAATTCAAGTGAAGAAGAGTGGAATGGCACATCCTTATGGAATGGACAGCATACCTGGAGGGGGGAAGCCGCACTTCCAGGAATCTGGGAGCCGCAGTAGCCAGGCACAGCAGCGACATCGGGCTGCTGCAGGAAACACAGACATCCCTGTGGGAACAACCGCGAGCGCCCCTTGGAGACACGAGAGGCTCCTGAGCGGCTCCGGGCACGGCGCCTGAGGCAGCCACACAAGTCGGATCCAGCCCAGGGGACAGGGACAGCTCCGCTGGGAAGTTGTAGAAAGAGGGGGAAAAGACACCAACTACGCAAAGAGTTTTTATGAGGAAGGCTGGCAGCTGGTTTTCTTCCCATCCGTCCGGGTTAGCGGGATGTGCTTCTTTGCAGCCAAGGAGAGCTGCCCGAGCAGGGCAGGGGCTGCCCGGGGAAGGTCGGCACTGCGGGGCTTGGGGCCGCTCTGGGGAGCGGCCCGCACACGCTCGAGCCTCCCCGGAGCAGAGGTGCGCGGTGAAAGCTGCTCCGTCCGTGCCCCACTGCTCCCCATCAGGGCTGTTTCTATCCCTGCAGTTGGCAGGCAGGGCAGGAGAGGGCACGTGGACACCCTGCAACCGAAAGCAGGGATTTTTACGTTGCAGCAAGTCCGCTGATAGAACCCAGGATCCACAGCACGTGGTTCAAATCCCAAGTTCGTTTATAAGGCAATCTTCTGCCTTGCAAATTGGGTAAGCCTGTTTTTGATGCAAGTGAGCAATCTGGCGTTCCCAGTTTCCAAATTCCACATTGTTTGTCGTGTAATTTGTCCAGCAAAATCGCCACCTGCAAATCTACATTTTGAAAGTCCAAGAAATTCACACAAACATATCTTGGCATCATGTCTGCATGGTCCTTCTATAAAAACAGGCTTCTAATTACGTAGTTTGTTTATTGGCTTTGGCAAGAAATTGCCTCTCTTTTAGTACTTTGCTCTAAAATAATAAGGTTTTTCCAGTTATGTATTATTGGCAGGATAGAAAGCAACTTCTGTTGAACTGCTGGCATATTTATGGGTTCAAAGATACACAGGAACAAAAATTCTAAAACAAAATAATTTTAGAATTAAAAGCTATGAACAAGCTGAAGACTGAAAGTACAGCTTGGAATCCATGGGCAGAAGCTTCTGTGTGTGTGTTTACTCTGCAGTGTTACCTCCGTGCGTGGCAAGTTGGGGTTGAGTTATTCATTATTTGTGAAACATCTTCCAATGTTTGCAAAATGCTGCATGAAATGGTGCCAAAAATGGCTGCTAACTTTTGGGCCGAGATGCTGTCTTTTGCAACCAGTCAGAGGTCTTTTTTGCAACCAGTGAACAGCTGTTTTGCAGGTGTTTTTAAAAGGGAACCTCAGAGGCTTTGCAGCAGTGAACGGGACTGCAGCCAGTGCAGGTTTGTGGTCTCCAAATGATCCTATTTATTGCTGATTTCATCAGATTTGAACTGCCTTACAGAATGACCTCCAAGAGAACCTTAATGCAGCAATAAAATAAAAAATGAGAGACGTGATAAACAAATACTGCCTTAAATTTCTTGCTCTTTCCACAAAACACATGGTTCAGGAACACCATCACTTACACCTGGATAGAGGGTGCACATTTTAGAAATCTATCCCTGTTTGCATGACTCATTTGTTGGCTTGGATGATGTTGCCACTGATTTTTATTTTGGAAACCTAAGTCCATGTGTCCATATCAAACTGTAAGCTGATAATGTTGATTTTATTTAGTTCATTCACATAAATCTTCAACAACAATGGATTAGAAACCATTTTCAAACAGCAAACAAGCAGGCACAGTCTCATCTTGCAAGTATAATTGTTTCAAGGTAAAATATTTGTGATATATATTTTACTATGTATATAGTAACAATAAGGCTTTAACTGAGTGGTTTTCTTGATGAAAGTATCAAAAGTACGTGGAAGAGCATCATCTGCATAGTTTTCTTTCCCAGAAAATTTTTTCCTAGGGAGTTAGATCTATTGACCAGCAGGAAACGGGCCCACGGGCTGACTCAAGCCTGTAATCTTTCTTGTACATCCTGAAACAAAATCAAAACAAGAACTATGATAACACACTCAAAGGGCAGGCCCAGAATTGCCCTGACGTGTGCAGATGGTACCAGGAGTCAGAGCTGCACCCAGGATATGATTATTCCCCCATGAAATAGGAGCCTTGGGCCCTGTAGCATCACTTAACAAGCAACAAATTCAGGCTGTTAAGGAAAAATTCAAGTGCAAGTTATTTACACCAAAGAGGTGTGTTCATACAGGCACACACTCCCCCAGTTTCATTTCTTTTGATCTCCTGGGTTTCCTGATAAAATACATCTCAAAGCACCCCCCCCCCCATGTGTGTTACCTGGAAACTTTGTGCTCAGATCCAGACACCGTTAGGAGTCTTTCGTCAGCTCTCTGGTTGGTGTTGGAGTTATCCCTAAATTGTGCTTTTGAATAAAATTGACCTAAGCAGCAACAGACACACAAATTATTTAAAAATACAACATTGCTGGTCATTTAACCCAAATGGCAGCTCTAACTCCAGGAAAGCAGCTCTTCATCTCAGAAAACAAACAAATGAAAGCTCCCTTAGCAAGTTAAGAAAATTCCTGTGTTTCAGCTGTGATCTCCTGTTATCCCTAACGCTCTCCACAGGGAGGCTCAGCCTTGCTCTGATGGGTTTTCACAATTATTTTTTTTGTGGTTTTGGGAGATGCAGCCTCTCCATTTGCAAAGTTTCTGAAACAGCTTCAGTTTTAGTCCCATCAGGATTTTTGGAGCCGAGACATTCAGGATCAGCTGGTTTCCATTTTCTAACCGTGATTGTTTACAATTTTACGTCTGTTATTTATGCTCCGTTACTTGACATCAAATGAATTTGCTGCATAAATCATTGTCATTCCACAGCACTGGTGAGGTTAAGCCCAACTATTATTTAAGTCTTGTTTTAACAACTCCTAAACCCATAATGGGCTCTTTAGGGTTGTGCCACTGGTGAATGGAGAAGCACTGTGTTGTGTTTGCAGGGTCAGACCTCCCCTCCTCGCAGAGCAGGGTCTGCATTGCCAGGCAGGAAAAGTTACGTGTCCAAAAAGAATAAATTAAATGTGAAGTTTCTCAAGAACACCCTGAAACAAACTCCCCGCTATATTCTCATTTCAGGAGCTTAGTTACAAAACCATCCTTCTTTGCCCCATACATCTGTAACAACACATACCCAGAGCTCCACTGACTTTGTCAGAAAAATGGTTGGTGTCCAAGAAATACAGCCCAAGGAAAACATCTGGGAACTTGACGAGGGAAATTT